TTTAAGTACATGTACAGTATCCCCGGTTTCGACAAAACCCTACTTGGCCATCCAGGTTTTGTATGTTATCGATGGAATTTTACGGGTTGCTTTGGAAAATTGTATTTCTTCCAATTCAAAGAATTTCAGATTTTTCCATCTGCAATTCTACCAATGTTGACTTATCTGCTAGTCAAGGAGCTAAAGAATGCAAAACTTTTGAGAAGAAAATTGTCGTTTACGAGGACTAAAGAGGAAAAGTGAGTAATTTTTTGAATTCTGAAATTTTCAGAATCTCAGAATCTCAGAATCTCATAACTTCAAAGTTTTTCAGCACCGAATCCGATCATACCACCAAAATCGTTGTTTTCATGACAATCAGCTCAATGATAGCGCAAGTTCCCCTTGGAATAGTATACGTCGGTCAGGGTCTCGAAACTTCTCAAGATTTTCAGTAGGTCAAAATTTTCAGACATTTTCAATCGATTACTTTTTTTACGAATCTCGCAATAGACCTAATTTCAATTTTTGGCGTTTTTTTCAGCTTTGAATGCCGCTATGAATGCTCCACTGTTTTATTTGCTTATCTGTTTCTTCACAGTACCGAGAATCTGCGAAGAAACTTTTCAATTGTTTTAGGTCCATTAACGATATGAAAAACCGATTTTCTCAAAGTTCTGTCAAGATTCTTTTCGAAAATTTCATATTTTCCCACTTTTTTTTCCATACATATATTCAAAGGCTTTCAAAGAAGAAAAGTGAGCAAAGTCCATATTTTGTGCTCATTTTTGTTCTTGACAGATCACGTTCTCCGCACCAACAACACATCTGGCTGTAGCGAAATGGGCACAAGATTATACTCGTATTTATGCACGCACTCTTTTTCACACACTGCTCATTTTTCTTCTTTTTTTGAGAATTTAGAGATCACCTCTACTGATATTTGTTCTTCATTTCTAATATTTCTTTTTGAGAATTTTTAGATATCACTTTTGATTTTTATTCTTTTATTTTCTACTTTTCTGAAATTTTTGAATTATAAAAATGGATAAGGAGAACAATCTATGCGATGTATGTGGAAAATCAGATGCTTCATGGCATTATTCAGTGAGTTATTTGGTTATTTTGTAACACGGTTACTTATCCTTTTCGTTTGAAAAACTTCAAAAAATCTGAATTTCTGAAGTTCTGAATTTCTGAATTTCTGAATTTCCGAATTTCTGAATTTCTGAATTTCTAAATTTTAATTCTGATTTCTGAATTTCTGAATTTCAATTCTGAATTTCTAAATTTCTGAATTTCTGAATTTCTGAATTTCCGAATTTCTGGATTTCTGGATTTCTGGATTTCTGAATTTCCGAATTTCCGAATTTCTGAATTTCCGAATTTCTGAATTTCTGAATTTCTAAATTTTAATTCTGATTTCTGAATTTCTGAATTTCAATTCTGAATTTCTAAATTTCTGAATTTTTGAATTTCTGAATTTCTAAATTTCAATTCTGATTTCTGAATTTTTGAATTTCAATTCTGAATTTCTGAATTTCAATTCTGAATTTCTGAATTTCTGAATTTCCGAATTTCCGAATTTCTCAATTTCTGAATTTTTGAATTTCCGAATTTCCGAATTTCCGAATTTCTGAATTTCTGAATTTCAATTCTGAATTCTGAATTTCTGGTTTTCTTAATTTCTGAATTTCTGAATTTCAATTCTGAGTTTCTGAGTTTCTGAATTTCCGAATTTCTGAATTTCTGAATTTCTGAATTTCTGCATTTCAATTCTGAATTTCTCCATTTCTGAATTTCTGAATTTTCGATTTTCTTTTTATTTGAAGCCGGTTTTCCGTTCAAATTCGATTTTTAGGTTAACTGTTGTAACCCGTGCAGAATGGTATATCGGAGATCACTCAAAAATGCTCCAAAACAATGTTCCCGAGGAATAAGGTGCTCGAACTGCAGATTCTGTAGATTAAGACAATGTATTCAAGCAGGAATGGGTGCACCAACCCCGTGGTCATATCATGCGATTGAACATTTGGATATCTTGCACATCTTCAGAGAGCACACTTTTTTGAATTACACTTTTCCGGAAAACTTGAACTTTGAAGAATTAATTCACTCGAAATCAGTGAATTATATTTCAACGTCCGCTCATTCCCAACCCACTTGGACCAGGACCAATCTTTTCACATCTATTGATTTTATCAGAAAATTTGAAGTCGTTCGGAAACTTTCAAAACCAGAAATTGAGGCGTTTATCAAACAATCTTATCTCCCAGTTTCCATGTTTTTCACCGCTTGGAACTCTTTTCAAAATAGAAAGAAATACGCGGAATTTCCCGGAGAAATCGATATCATATCAGACGAGCTCAAAGAAAAACATTACCAAGAAGAAAATGTTCATAAAATTCGATGTTCAATTATAGAAAAGTTGGCGGGATTGGAAGTGAAAAAGGAAGAATTTCTGTTGCTCAACGCGATCATTGTTTGTGATCCAGGTGAGTAAAGTGTGATAAATGTTGTTCAATTCAATCGGAAACTTGACATCCGAGCTACAGACTTCTGGAAATAGCCAAAATGACCAGAATTCAACTGGAAAAAAACGTTTTTGAATATTTTATTGATCGGTACTGTTAACATGGGGACCCTTATTATCGAAAGTTGAGGTCCGTGTATGTGTAGTGCGAGGTACAAAGTATAAAAGTTTAAGCATAGTGGTCAAATTCTGAGGTTCTTATGTATTCAACTGTGAGGTCCCTTTGTGTCATAGCCTGAGTGTCAAAGCATGAGGACCCTATAACACAGATCATAAGGATCCCTCCAATACATAGTAATTTTCAGCAGCTCCCCATCTCTCCGAAGAACGCAAATCAGAAATTGAAAACGAACAAAACCGATATCTCTCATTATTATTGAATCACTGCTTACGAAATTATCAGAAGCATGGACCATCCAGATTTGCCAATCTATTAACTATTCTCAACACCATCAAAATTGTGATGGATGCTGCTGAAAAAATTTCGAAATGTTGAAATCATTTATTTGAATTTTTCAGATCTTTTTTTTTGGAAATAAAGCTTTTTCTTTAATTAAAGGTGGTGTGCGGTGAAATTTTTTATTGCTTTATTTTATGCAGAAATCTGTGTAGATTCCCATAAAAATAAAGAAAAAATTCAAAAAAAAAATTCCTTCATCGAGAAAAACGCATCGAAAAATACGTTGAAACCCCATAGGGACGAGCTTTTTTTCTAGGCCGCCCGGTGAGTAAGAGCGCGCGAATTCATAGTTTTAAAATTTTTTCGCTCGTTTTCAC